AATTCAACGATTTGCTACAGCGACTCCGCGCGGCTGGATTCGCAAAGTTAGTCTGTGGCACAGGCCAAAGAAGGAGAATGAGCTATGAAATCTCTGGCAGTTTTACTTGATGCTAATGAAATGCTTACACGCTCTATTATTAGTTAGAGTTATTTTCAGGTTTCTTGTCCTTCGGTGGTACTTACATTTCATTGGTGATGAAATATCTAGACAATCTCCACAAGAGTTTTGCTTCTGCTGTTTCCATTATCCTAGTTGTTATCACATCCTACTTCCTCTTCAACGACGTTTTCATAGGCGCATACTTCGTAGGTGGTACAGCTATAGTTGTATTTGCTGTTCTGCTTTACAATTCCGTGCCGGAATAAGGATTTCGGATTCCTCCTTGGATATGCCATTTTTAGGAGCTGTTTATTGTAGATTTCTATGTGTATTAGATTTTTATGTGTATCTAGAATTATAAGGCGCTTGTTCCACTTTTACGGGAGGGCTCTTTTGTGGCCTAGAGATGATTGTTATGTATTTGTCAATTGGTATTCCTAACTAGCATCGCATTGAGTGGTGCGCATGCATGCGCGCATTGTGATCTTTTTTACCAAATTGTGCGGTTTTGCCCATCATCTTGTTACTGATTTCAAGAAAAAAGCAATGATATAAATTATTCGTATAATCTCACGGTGACTTGCCTTGGATCTGCTTTCGTTGTAATCGTACGTGTTTACGAGGTGTGGCTGTGTGTCTTACATATAACCGTATTCCATCCTCAAATTCGGCTCGTTGTTTGTTCTTCAGCAACTTCTTAATTAATACATGCACACTAGTATTGATTGTTTGCGTCCAATAAAGTGTATAAAAATTTTTGCGAACGCTGAACTCACCTGTTATAGGATTTCGATTACGAGTTGCAGCCTGCAGTTTTGTGCTGGATGTCTGCAAGTGATACTGTTACCATGGAGAATGTGAAGCTGAATGAACGATCAGGGTGCGGACAATATAAGGCACTCCTGAATTGTGACATTTCACGTGAAAGAAGAGAATAATTGATTTGGGCGAGAGTCACTCGTTGATTCATTGACAATTCAAGCATGTTGACCCATCATGGGCGTTCTTTCGGTGAGTCAGGTTTGGGCTTACCTCATCGAGGTGGTGCTGGGTGACGGACTTGTCTGAAATGGCGAGGACAATACTCTTCTCAACAAAAAGGGTCATTAGGTCTACCCGGGGCACTCATTAATAGCATGCGTGTAGCATTCTGTCTCTTGGCCGATCTTTGAACGACCTTGGAACACAGGCAAGAGGTTGTCATGAGACGCTTTCTGTAGTCAGCGCTTCTGTAACTTTTGTTGCTTTTCACAACGGCAGACAGCGAACTCGGTAAGGAAATCGCATCCACGATCTTTGCCGTGAAACCTTTGTACATACTGTTTGGCCTTTTTGGCTTCACAACTAGGTTTAGAGAATTGCAGACAGAAGGTATACATGAGCTCAGGTCTCGAGACTGGTGCAGAAATGAATGTTTGATTTCAATTGGGTAGGTTTGTCTGGTGGCCTTTCCTACCTGGCGACGGTATTAAAAATATGTTGAACTTGCACGGAGGAGGCGCAATGAATCGGCATTTTGGAGAGTATCAACATTCTGAGGGGATTTATTTCAGAACTAGAGGTTGTTGCCGCGCAGTTTCAGTCGGTTGTTTAGATGAAAAGGGGCGTTTTCCTGCCGGAACAAGCAAGAATATTTCCGATTTTCGGCAGGCGCAAGAAATCGTTTTCGTTATCCGGGGCACGGGGGGTTGATCCATAATCCCTGGCCGAATTTTTTCAGAATCAATTTTCTTCAATGTCAAATTAGTGTCATTACGATAAAAGTTGGTATGTTGAAGGAGGCATCAGTACCTTAAACTAGGATGTTCCAGAAGGTCAAGAGGGCAGTGGAATAAGTAGAGTATGCGGATCGAAGTGCGATCAGAGACCAAAGGCAGAGCGATGATGCTTAGAGAATTCATTTAAGGAGAGAGCCTTGACGGTTGTTTGCTCAGTCTTTGCTAACTGATTTGGGGTGCAGGCTGCGGGCTATTGGCTAGAAAGGCATGCGGCAAAGGCGCATGCGGAGCCTGGGCAGAGAGTTGACCTCAGTCCTGAAGCCAGTGAGTCACTGGCGAGTAGGTGCGCATTACGCTGTGGAATCGGAGAGATCACACCGCTACGCTGCACCTGAGATTTGTAGCTGCATACTCTGGCACATGGCGTGCACTCACTCGTCTATGCTGTTTCTTGAATGAAACGGGCTGTAGCAGAATGAAGTTTCGATGGGAACGACATGCATCTCTGAAATGAACCGAGAAGCAGACCTGACCATCTGCAGAAATTTCATTCTGCGCAGGCATAGCCTGGACTTTCCCTAGTCGGTCACCAGTGGAGATGAGTCATGAGTCCACTACGACAACAACACGCGGCACGCCTTATGGCTATCTCGCAGCCTGAACCCACCATCTCACCCAAAACCCGACCTCTTTCGTCAGAGAATATTACCCCCATTTGTAGGATTGGTCGGGTATCCCACTTTGAGAACCGCTTCATCTTATATAGACAACCACTGCGAAGATAACCATGGAATAACTCCCGAGGTTGGCCGCAGCAGTGCGAGAGAACCATTCGAAACGTCTCAAAATCTCCTTCCTCCGGATGAACGCCCGACCTTACATTGCGAAGATAACTCGCCACCTTCTGAAGGAAACTGGTAGGATCGCGATACCACATCTATCGTATAGCCCTAACATTACTTCATCGCACTATCCTCTTCTCGATGCACTGCAGCAATACCTTCGAGGGAAAAAGGGAGTCAGTTGAAATACAGACCACGCCAAAGTCGACCCTCGGAACTCTTTGGCATTCCCACACCGCTGGGTGTTCTCGCTGGCGTGTGGGCTGGGGAAGGAACGCATTCACTTCGGGCCTAGCAAATGACGCATATCAGTGATTTGCGACGTGTTTATATTTACTGGCGCAGTTATTCTCCAGTAAAGAAAAACTGCGAATAAATGAAAGGCGTGTGCGAAATGGTCGGCCAGAGACATTTCTATGGTTCGGCCCGAATGGTACAAGTTACTATTCCGAAGTTATCTGACGATTTTCTTTGATTGTAACAGTCGTGTTACTGCACTTGAAAACAGTGGGCCGCTCGAGGCATCCATTGATGTTTTAGAAAATTTCACTGATAGAAATAGTAGCAAATGGTTAGCAACTTCAGCTGTCTACTCGTTGAAGTATCATAACAACTTGAGGATGCCGCACGTACGACGCAAATTTATTTTTGTGTATGAAATGCTATTCGCCTCTGAAAATGTCTGTCAAACGAATGATAAATTAAAGCAATGAGGCAATGCGATATCCTGAATAACAAGGTCGATATGAAACGACGAGTCGGTATAACAAATGACGATGGAGAGCTATAAAAAAACCAACAATTCGCAGTGGATCTCGTTCACATAGCTCTGCTTCCAATCGATTCGTGCCTTTTTCCGATTCGTCCGAATAGGATTCATCAACTCTGGTAACTTGAGTGAGAGTATACTTCTCGTGGATGGCATAAACGGGTCGTAATCACCGGCTACAAAAAGCGGAAATAGAACTCTTTTCATTTCTCCAATGACGAGAAAGTTGTCTCTCTGGAGTCGGTAGTGAAGGACGCCGCCTACAGCTCGCGACAATCTGCTGGTTGTTTCAGGGCTCTGAGAATCTGATGCCCAAGCCGCTTGTCTTACGTCACAGACGATTATCCTGTGACCTGTACGAGCCACGGGGGTAGAGATCAATCTGCAAGGATCCAATATCGAGAAGCATTCGATGAGCTTCTCTTGGTTCAGGAGAAGTGACTGGGGTACCAAGATCTGGATGGCCGGTGGCCGGTCGGGTGTCAGGACTGTACGTGAGTCGCGATTCGGTGTCACTGACCGCTTTTCGGCATTTCTCCTCAATCTCCTCGGCTGAGTCGCTAATCTGAACAGAAGCAGTGTCGCGAAGATGATTCAACGGGATGATGATGTGTGCTCTCTGAAACTCCTATTCTCAACCTCACCTGGCGAATGAATGAACAACAGTTTCGGCTCCTAAATGCCTCGGTGGCCATCACTTTGTCAAGGGCTGTAATAGGACATGGGCCTCAACCTCATGAATGTGAGGAAGCTACGAAATGGTAGCGTCGGAGAACAAGGTGTGGTGCTCGACTTCATTGGGCTAGCCAAAACGGGAAGGCCTCGCCTATACGGCGTCAGTCGTTCCCCGAAAGGGGTATTGGAGCTGTGCTTATCAAACGCACTATGACAGGAGAATAGACTTCTAGTGAAATAATATCAATAACAATGAGAGTTGACGATTGAAAACAAGTAGACGAGCTTTGATGAGACAACAGGGAAATAGCGCTGCCCGCGGTTTTGTCTCCTCGCGTTTCGATGACACCTATGCCCTTTCCTACAGAAGCTCCTTGCCGCTTGTTGTCGTCTCGTGAAAAAGGAAACCCGACATCGTCAAGGGAGCTTCGATCACTGATTATCGAATCTGTTAGGGTGGGGGTGAACGGGAAAACGTACTGAAGCGGACGATTATCGATGTAGATCAGAATCGCTGAAGACTAAGAGAACTTCTTTCAGTATAATTTCCCACTTCGTAATCTACAATCACACACTCTCTCTCTATCCACGCGGGTAGTCGCGACAACATGCGCTGACCATAACGCGTAAGAACTTTTCAGCTGTTCAAACTAAGTTTCCAGTTCCTGTAAAAAAAACTGAGTAAGGAAGGATCCCAGGGTGAGGCTGGGGGCCTAATTAGGGGAAATATACCAAGTGGAAAGGCAGACGAGCCCCTAAGGGGACATCGCAGTGAAGAGTATGCTCCCAGCAACCTGGTAGGGCTGTACCCCCACCGCGAGAGACAGACCTGAGAGCAGCATCGATGAGAGTCGCACAATCTCATCGATGAGTGCGGAAATCAACTGACAGGGAAGGGGCCATTCTCGGGGTTTGAGTTCGGCATGGTTACTTCTTCATCCGTGCACCACCCGTTTTGCTCATAACTCAGCATTCTTGTGAACCTTTCGTAACACGAACTGTGCCTTCAAACAGCATTTAACGAACAACATAAGCTAAAAGTACGGGTAGTTTTGCAGAATTCTCTGACGAGTAAGGCAAATGATGAAGAGAAATGGAAATATGAGGGAGGCACTAAGATATCTTGCATAATCTCTGCTCTATATATGTATGTGTATTTGAACTCTGTCAAAACCCTCCATCACTCACCTCCAGCCTCGACCGTGCACTCTTCTCAGATTTACTCATCTTCTTCAAAGGATCTCGCAAGCTTCGCAGACGAGACGTGACTGGTTGTACCACCTAATAGTTACCATTTCAGCTCCAACTCCAAGGCATTGAATATTTCACGACGTAGTGAAAGGGGGAATCATTACCTGTTGAGGTCGTGGAAAATACAGAATCTTATAGAAGCCATTGAAGTGGTCAGCCAAATCGGCCAACATATTCATGTGTTGAGCCTGATCGGCACCGACCGGAACATGAGTCGCCTGGAATCCAGTCCTTTAAACACAGTTTCCGATGATTTCGGAGCAGTGAATCTGTTTCACATAGAAAAAGACACCTTGAACATTAAGACGTCGGCAGCTTGCAGGATTGGGTAGGTGAGGAGCCCAACAGGAATATCACCCCGGGAAACCCTAAACCAGAGAGAGTGACGTTTCTTAAGGTTTACACACGAGATTGTATTCACAAGAAGTAGATGCTGAGGGATACGATTCTGCTAATGGCTGAAACAGTGGGACAATTTATAAAGGTTCAAGATCAATGGCATAAAAGTGAGAACGCTTTTGTGACTGAAACACTTGCGACGGCCAAGACACACCAGTGTTCTCTAGTTTCCTGTTTTCTTTAGCAAGTAGCAGGTCTCACTCTCAGTAACGGGAACAATATGAGAGAGCGAGAAAAAGCGTTGTACAATTATTCTAGGTTGAACCTCAAATTGTCAGTGCGTATTTTAAAACTCGCTTTTTGAGCTACTCTATTTCAAGCAAAAGATGACCTGATGTATCAGAGGCATGCACTTGGCACTATCAGGGAGATCACTGCCTCACAGCAATCCGAGAATGACCCGACTCAATTCCAAAAGCTTGGCGCTTTATGAGCTAAAAAATGCAGTGGTCGATTTTGAGGTGCTTGTGAGAATCGTATTTTTCGTTCGCAAGATGACTGCTGAGCAAGAAGGGGAGATGTCTTCCGAAAAAGGCTGATCCTTCAGCGTCAAATAAGATAGGGGACTTCTTCACCACTTCCATGTTCCAATATCTGAGAGTCGCGGCTTATTTAAGTGCGTGTCTTCGGCTGTCGTGGAGGCCGGATGGCTTCTTGATTTATGGAGACGGTGCTGCGAGTTTTGCGTGCCGTACTCTGCCATCGATCACACAAAACTTGGCTGACTCCATAGCTGTAACAAGGGAGAGGTTGACCGTGAGCCACGGGAAACATCTACTTCGAGAACGCTTAAAGAAAGGCGGGACATGACCTTGAGGTGAATTTGTCCATTTTTGACTTCTTCTGCTCTATACGGCCAGTGGCCTTCTGCGTGTGGGCGTCTGCATCACGAAACTGATTTCTCAGCTGCTGTTCGCGGATTTGTTCGGCTAAATAGTAGGTTCTCCCATGTAGATTGACTTTTACAGAAGAGCGCAGCCGATTCAAATCTCGCACCGATGGCCTACTGTTTTCATCCAGACTGTAGTCTTGAGCAAAGAGAATCTATTCATTTCGACACCTCGTGGCTAGCAATACAAGGAGATGTATTGCAAACAGATGTTACTTTCCGGTTTCGATCGTCGTGGGTCTGTGGAACTTTTGAATCAGAGCGTGAAAAACATGGCGCTTTTCTTGTCTAATTTTGAACTCGAAGAAGGCGACTAGGATGGGCGCGATTCGTCTATAGGTTACTTCAAGTTGTGCTCTCTATAGCCTACGTAAACAATACCTAGAATTGCCGCTTGTCTGGCATGCGATTCAAAAATGCGCACGAATTTTTGAGACAACCTAACAGTTATACAAACTAGAGTACTTGCATCATTCTGTAAATGTTTTGCTCTCTTCAAACAGATGTTCTTATCATCTTAGCAGCCTGGAACGGCTGTTTCGAGCGCGAACTGATTGAGATTTAGGGGAAGGGCCGCTGATCCGGACTATGGTAACTCATTTCACGCTTGCTACTCAAAGAGTGTTCCCGTCGGCCACAAGAATGTTTATCGTTATTCCGTGCTTCATCCATACGTTAGGTTGTTCGGAGAGTAATATGCGAGTTTCGAGATGTCGTGCATGCTCCGGAGGGTTTTGGGTAAAAAGTTTGCTGACCAGCACTTTGCTACGATAAATTGGGCAAGCCGTATTAGTATTCTATCTTCATTTCCTTGTCTTAAATTTGTACTGGATTGCTACCCCGGAGAGGTCATATCACCGGTCCTGTAAAATTAGCCCCCTATGTAAAAGCTGCGTCCTACTGAGAAGGAGATCGCTCCTCTTCAAAGTGGCTAGACAGATAGTAACAGATGATGCATTGAAACATCCGATAGCTTGGTCTCAGGATCGAGATTCATTGTTTTCTAAACAGACAGTGATAGTGGGCGACTGGTGGTTCCGACCCCTACCCAGATCATGGTAAGGATTGGCTGCTGCTTGCGAGGTTCCTTTCTCTTTCTTTGATTTCCGCAGAACCTCATGCGAACATCCTCGAAGTTTTAAGATTGTGACTTTTCTGGCGGGAATTTGTCGTCGATGAAAACGGTGACCACGTAATCGCCTTTTTCGGTCCTTGGCACCAGGTTTTCACACTTCTGCCTTTGCTGTGCTCCTCTGGTCAAATGAAAAGGTAGCGCTTATGCAGGTAATAATGTTTCGTGAGCAGTTGTTGCATGACCACTTTGCACATGATTACGTTTGAAAGCTTCTGCGTTCTTCAACTTTTTCAAGCCAACTTGGAAAATGCGGTAGATTCGCTTCCTCGCGCCTTTCCTGACATCCAGTATGGCAGAACACACAAGGCCGTCGCGAAGAATACTACATTTATGGTTCTTTTCTTAGTTTGCTTCTGTTCAGGCGTACCACCAGATGCTCGGTAAGCCGCGGAATATGGCAAGGTTATTCACAAGAGGTTCTGGGATGTAAAGGTCTGCCAATCTTGGAAGAAAAGCTTTAGGCATCATAAGGTTAAGCTTGAAATGTGGTGTGATATTTATAGGACACCCTGTACTTGGCTTCGCCGCTACTATGGAAAAGGTTTCAATTTTGGCCCTTTGATTTTTCTCTTTTCTTCATTACTATTGCTGCCAATCCCATCTCCACACCACTTTCGAGCGCAATAACACTCCAACTCAATCCAGGATCTTGCCTTTGCTTGACTCGCAGACCCGACCAGAGCGTAAAATGGAACCTCTTCGTCCCAGGATTTTTGGCGGTTTCACTTCCAATTGTTTCACTGGTGCACTTAACACCGTTACTTCAATTTAGAGCGCATTGATCACCTCTATTGGTGATTACCAAAGTTTTTTAATTGTTCTTGAAAACCTTCACGACCTAACGTATAACCTTGTCTCCCATTCGATTTTCTTACAACTGAGTTTCCACATTGAAAAGTTCCGACTGATAAACTTACTTAGTGGCTTTCTCTTTATACTGTGGTAGCCGTTGCAATTGGGCAACTGTTTGCAACGACCCGAGAATCCAAGAAAGTTGTGAGATCTGTGGGACACTGCTCTGACGAAACAGCAGCGTTCTGGACGGGTCCACACCACAAGCCAACAGACTGCACGCCATTATCGCCCGAAGTTTTCGTGTAACTGAAAAAATACATGTGATGGCCATGGTGTTACCCAAACTCTTCTGACCAAGAGAGGAAGGTAAAGAGAAATGAAATAGATGAGGTTTGATTATTTTGAAATTCTAGTGACTTAGGAAGGCGTCTCAAACAAAACACGTAGGAAAAAAGGAAGTCTAAAGTATTACTTATCGAAAAATCACTACACACAAACGTCCCCTCATACCACTTGACCGGATTCTGGCTCCTATCCCCACAATTAACCACAATCCAACATGTGCCGACAAAATCCTAAACATTACTCATGGGCATAAAAATCCCCCATAGACATTTTGAGCGTATCATCTGAAAATAAAACTACCTGAATACGATCAATACGAATTTAAACTTAAAGGACGAATTTACGATGGAAAAGCAACCCATTCCAAATTGAGGTAGAGATGGTGAGTAGTACCAGAAAGAAAGCGAAACCACGAAAAACGGCCCAGAACCGGAGAAATGGGACCCCTTCCTTGTCCGTTGATTTGAGCATTGATGGGACTCTCATCGCTTTGCCCTCTTCAACCCTACGCTCTCTCAGCTATCTAATCACTCGCCACCTATTGTACTACGGCGAGTGATCAGACGATCGGTGGGCGGAGATCGCCGAACTCGCCAACTTTGAGCCATGCTAGATCTCAGAGGTCAAATCTTTCGATGCCGATTGCGTGTCTGTCCGCACCCTCAAGAGATTCACCGCTCTCCCCACTAGGCGATTTCTCCCTTCTTCGACCTTCGTTCTTTCCGTGCAATCCTCCTTTAAAACATCCATAACCTCATATAATGTATGCTATCTTATCATTCCTTCTTGCCAGCACTGAATACTAGAATAAGGCTGACAGCAGTATTAGCGGGCTGCCGAGGCTTCCTCAGTCACTGTACCGATATGATCTACTTCCGACGTCAATACAGACCAATCACTTAAAGCGAGAGATTACGATACAGTGTGTATTCAGCGTGGAATTACAGCATGCACCACTGAAACTGACCTAGTCAGCCGAAGGAAGGACAATGGTTGCGGGCGCAAAGGTGCGCTATTTCGGCGTACACGGCCTGCCAATTCCATTCTAGAGCTCCTCCACGCCCAGTGCTCGCCCCCAGACATCGCCGACCCCTTCGATTACCAATTATAACGAGATATCCCCCATTCCATGGTACTCCTGAATAACAGTTTTCATGGGATTCCACCTCTACAGCTTGAGAAGTGATCAATCAAAGCATGATGCTTGAAAAATGATGGAGGCTATCAGTATAACATGTGCAAACGACCTCCTAATTGGTTGTTACCTCGTCCATTATCGGAGGTCAACAGGCAGGCAAAAAAGGGGGTCCATCATGCGCCTTCTTGACGTGGCTTCCCTTTTTTCGCCCACTTGGCATTCACCCTCCCCAACTCACCGTGAACCCACTCCAATCTTATCGTAATCTCTCGCTTTAACCACGAATATCGGCAGGAGGTTGTAGGAAATGGAACATCTATTGAAAATCCCACGAACACAAGAGTGAACTCCTTTCTGGCATTGCTAACCTTTTAGCTCTTTCTGGAGTGGTTCCCTGAGAGATAGTAACCTGTGACGCAGCGTATGGTTGCCATGCTGAACTCAGCTACCATTCCTATGTAGTAACGACGTATTGGGGAGCTCCTTTCTGTGAGAGAGTACAAGCAAAGAATGTGCGCACACTGATTCTTGACGCTTCATCCAGGATACTCATTTGGTGTGGTTCCTAACTTGAGAGCACCTAATCGTAGCATGCATTACTACGATGGTGGGTGACAAGACAACATTAGCTGTTAAAAAGTGACTTTCGCAGGAACTTATGAAAAACGATGGCTAGCAGATAGCTTCAGTGAACTTAAGTCATTTGTGTTTTACACGCACATGGATGCGAGTAGATACAGCCGCGGAAATTGAGCTCTGGAAACCTCCTTCCTACCTGCCCCCTAACATAGGATCCATCCAATTGGTCTTCTAAGAAAATCTAGAAAAAGAATGAAAATTTCAAGACTTTTTCCTCGACCTAATGTGATACGATATGATATGATGAGATAGATAAGATAAGCGAAGATCAGATAAAATAGATATATAGATAGACATACAGATAGATAGACGAATAGATCGATAAAAGAAATATACCATACCTCGCTCGACGACTTCGGGCCAAGAGATATCGCGTGCTGATCGGCTATAGCGAGAATCATTTTCGTTGTGGATGGGAGACTCTAAAATGACATTGTTATTGTTCGAGCACTGATCACTTGGCTTCCCCCTGACAAGTTTAAGAGTGCATTCTAGAGTTAGCTGAGCGTAGTGGTCTGACAGTCCTTCAGTGGAGGGGAGGCAAAAAACCTACCGTAAAGTTATAATTAATGCGATGCCCTCTACTACTCGGAAATTCTTTTTGCTGTATACGTGTCACCTCCATGCGGTGTCACAGGCAGGGTCAGTCCTATCGTTGCTACTTTTCAAAAAGTTTTTACGACCCCCCTCCCTCATGAAATGTTTCATACGACCCCCTCTTTCAAAACAATTTTTACCCCAAAAAATTACCGTCGAGCGGGGGGGGGTATATACTTCCCTTAAAACCGCAAAAATTCCCTACATTTCCTTACAATTTCCCTATGCTTCACCCATATTTCCACTGGGGGGGGGGGGGTTAGATCTCTAACTTGTTGAAGTTTTCCATTGGATTCGTTTTTGCCGGTGCTTCGTAATGCGGTGCAGGATAGTAATTAAGAATATACCTTTATTTATCAAGGGGTTTCACGCGCGCATGAGCGGCAATTTCTCCGGCGCGCTCCTCTATAATGCACTTCTTACACTCTAGCTAAGTACCCCCCCCCTACAAATCAACAAAATACGACCCACCGTTGTACTGTGTAGAAATGAGGGTTCCGGTAAGGTCACGTTAAGGACCAGAACAACGGAGTCTCGATGTGAAGCAGGCAGAGGTCGCGTTGACGAGGGGCCCCTCTGGTTTGATTGCCCCAAGTGCATACCTACCTAGATGTAGGTGTTCCTTAACGACGACCTACTTTTCTTCATAATGTGTTAAACTTACTTTTCGCAGATTCACCCATGGTTCAATAAAGCCAAAGTAATTCCCGAGATGTGGTACGCCTGTTGGTTGGATGCCTGAGAAGTACAGCTCAGAGTGCTGGCGAACCTCCGTGCAAAGATAGCGAGCTGTCCGTCGCCACATCTGTAAATCGCATCATCCGATCGAAATTCTTTCAGGAACAGACGTGAGAGAAAAAATGTTCGTAAGAAAAATACACCATCAAATTTGACAAAGCTCTGAAATTGCACAACAAATCTGCGCAGAAAATATAATAACACGCCGCTCTTGCTGAACGATCTATCCGATGGATCCTCGTCGCTACCCTTGATTTCTAAAACTCATTAGCGAGGTAACTGTGGCAGGTAAAATGTAGTAAAACATTGTTGTGAACATGATATCAGCTCCAAAGGGAAATGGCAGACTATTCGTTATGGGCTGAAGTGTGTAGTTGCAGTTTGTCAACTTACACCGTGTGCGGTACGGGGCAAATACTGGCGTGTGTGTCGCCGGCTTTCAGCCTTCTCCTCCAAATCGGTTATTGGACCGACTTGCTGAGAGATAAAAAACATGACTGTACTCGGGCTGGCCGGCAAGTCCTTGTCTGTGGGGGCGGCATCGTTTTCAAACGCCCTGCTGAATGCACAAATGGAAGTGGAATGCTTCCCGCATCCCAAAGAGGAATTGCTCAACGGCAAATGCTTTATCCTTTTTTGTCTTTTAATTCGCATTAATTGCCTCCACGATAAGAAGTCCAAATGAGCGAGGCATGTTCTGAGAGCATAGACAAAGTTTAGCTCGGCGACGGTATCAGGCAAAGTGTCCATCGCTTCCATTGCTTTGTTATCAATTTAATTCTTCCATCTCATAGCTGGAAGCCTATATTTTTTAAAGGAAGTGGTCACGATAATTTTCATGGGAACGATAAGGGAAGCTATGTATTGGAGTGGATAGAGGTCCTGCCCAGTGTTACAACACGTGAGTTTCAGTGGCAGTGGCGCCTTATCAACGGAGTGATAAGGCGCCGAAATCCACTTCCGTTCAGCAAAAACCAAGACTTATCGATGTGGAAAGGGGTGCGATAAGAGCGTGCTAGATATGATACCGTTATCGTTATCGTCCCGTTTTCATTCTGGAGTGCACCTCTTATCAAGCAGCCGCACCTTCTTATCTCATCGTATCATATCTTCCATGGGCTTACACTCGTCCAACAATTTCGTACTCATATCGAATGATTAACGCGAGGTAGCAATTCTATGTGGATGCAGCGTGACGACTTCCTTAATCGTCGAAACCGTACAGGGAAGGATTCAAGTTCATGGAGCATCAGTGGGACAGGGTGTAATTTAGTTAGGGGGCACGCGGTGCGCGCTGCAGTTTGCTACTGGGCTCTCTCGAGCGAGACAGTGTAAACTCGAACATTCCAGCTTTCACGCATGTCAAGTGACTGCCCCCCCCCCCCCCCTAGACTGCCTACACTCCCCCTGGCCCACGGATTTCCGAACATGCCAGGCGAGCAGACTGCCGCGCCGCCGCGTGCCCCCCCCCCAACTAAGTTAGCACCGAGGCAGAGTAATCATAGAGCTCAACGCTGTTATAAATTATGGGAACTGGACGCAAAAACATGCAGGAAGTCATGAGAGTCAAAATGACGAATGTTAAAAGTTTTACTTCTCAACCATGCTAGCCTCCAGGCTTCCAAAGTCGCCGTGGAGTAGTAGTAGTAGGTAGCTCTCAAAAATCACACTTCAACGGAAAGAGAATTTCTGACCTTCGGGTAGAAAAAGAGCACTTCCGCTACTCCGCGGCGACTCAGAACTTGGGGGTCCAGCGCGGTTCATATGCAACGCTTTACTTTACCCGAACTTTACTGCCCACAACTTCCTTGGCAGGTTCGTTTTGCAGGATCAGCTTCTATATTTGTGATCAGCGTTTTAAGCTCTATCGATGTATATGGGGACTCAATTCAAGGTCCCATGGGAAGTCGAATGCATTCCCTGGTAAGTGTTCAGCACGGTGAACAAAAAAGGCTTCTGAGAGAGTACTAATCGAGCGGAGACAGTGTAGCGCCAATTTCCACCGCATTAAATGGGCATGGTTCAAGGTAAATACTTGGATCTGATCTAACACTCGCAAACCAAGCGCTCCATCCTCTGGGGGGTAGGAGTTTGCAGTGCATAGTTCCTTCGTCGTCATTCCAGCAAAAAATCGGAGAAGCATGAATGTAGGCGGTTGAAGTTCGAAACTTAGAAATCGTTGCAGCTAGACTACTGCTGGCTCTTGTCGGACTATCGCAGTGCACATAATCCCCTTCTTGTCACCAGTGACCGCGCTGGATACTCAATCAAAGAAATGATGGGAAACCAAAAGAAATAAGGGGAAGACTGTTCGTGTTTGGGGTTGTGGCGGACTCTACACATGTATAATTTAAACACCATTTTTTCAAATCCCTTAGGTCTTGTGGAGGTGTTTCAGTATCAACATCCTGCCAAAGCGGAGGAGTTCTGCCAAACGACAACTAGAATGTTCAGATTTTCTTTTCAACAGCGTCACGTAGGTCCATTCTGACACTGTCTTTAATATTGGTCAGCAGGGACCTTACACAACTAGAGCCACTGTCCTTAGGAAGATAGCTACCACTGAACATGCAAGAACGTATGTAGCAGCTCCAGGCTGGAGCGACCACGGTTGGACTTCTTGTGCTCGACGGCGATGGCAGATGGCGCTATGTTCTAAAAGTGGTGAGGGAAGTGAATGAGGGTTTTTACTTATGGAAGGACATTTCATGAATATTTTGCCAAAAGACTCAATGACCACGGCATTCTGTGCGAGGCAAGCTTTCTGATCCGCTTCATCAGCAAGGTGGCTTTTTTGGCCACCGCTGTATAGCTAACGAACGAAATAACGCAAGGGACACAGAAGTTCGCAACTATTGAGTATTGCCACCACCCAATCGATGGGTAAGAAAGTTCAACTGCTTCTACACATGCTACTCTCACCTGCTGCAGCAATTAACCCTAGTCACAACACAACACTAGTCAAAGGGTATCACTTTCGTAGTCCAAGTACCTCCACAATCAAGCTTTTTTGAGAGGGAGCGCTCCCTATTGGGACCTGAATACGTACATAGAGAGCCTTTGTACTCTTTGCTGAAATGGCAATCTATCAGATGGTTAGCGAGATGAGTATATCAGAGCAGTTCCCAGCGCAATTCGCTGGACATTGTTTGCACTTCGAAAAAGTAGTATTTCCAGGAGATTTGCACGAAGTCTTCATAATATTTTCATAGTAGTTAACGAGCCTGCTTAATTTATAATATCAGCTCTAAATAAGTAATCAAAAGTTAATTAGAAAGGAGATTTTTCGCGGATTTTGGCTGAAGTGGAATCAGAGGAAGCTGCAGAGTTTGAAGATATTATTACCGAGCTCATCTCCAAACTGCTAGGGCTACGGATGGAGCGGAAGAGAAAATGGAAGATTCTGACAAAAATACAATTCCAAAAAAATCCAGAGGGAGCTATGTTAAGCATGCATAGCCAAAGGCAGCGGTTTCCAGGCGCACCTTTATAGAGGCCCCATACACAAACCTCTTTGAGAGACTTGGTTAGTCCGCGATCGACCACTCGCAGCTACCCCAACGCGGTATCATTGTTTAAGCTTTAATTCTGTGCTAAATTTTTCGCTTGTACAGAGGTGGTATGTTGAACAAAAAGAGTCGCTACCGCGCGTATGGTCCAGGGATCAAATCGGTAGAGTTATGCTTGGTGCTTTGCTGCTTCTATTGGATTGATGCATAATTATTGCGGCTTTTTTTCGCGCCTTCTTTTTCGAAAAGATTGGCGTTTTGTTTATTATTTTTTCATGAAATATTCTTCTCTCTTTCATTAACAGAAATGCTTATCGAAAATCATCTTCATATTCGCCACATATGCTCTACCACTTCGAGAAAGGTTGGAAGGCGGCAGAGTCATTTCGCGATCTCAACGAACTTTTCGGCGAGGGAACAATCAGCAAAAGCCAAGTTGAAAGATGGTTCAAGAGGTTCAAAACGCCATATTTACCGACCGAAGCTCCTACAGACTACCACTTCAATCAGTCGTTGAAAAACTGGCAAACGAACAAAATTTACGACGAGCTGGATGACTTGGTGGCCGATGTTAGAGCGTGGATCTCCTAGAATCGTGACTTCTTGCCCGTGGAATTGTCCGACTACCGAGCAAATGACGAGCATTCCCATAACGATTGTAACTACGCTCCGGAACATCTATTTAAACATGTTTTTGCTGAATTTCTTTATCGTTTCCGCTACATAAAGTTTGTTGAAAAAAGCCGCAATAATTATGCATCAACCCAATAAAAGCGAAGAATGTTGTACAAGGAACGTTAGCGGATCCATTTTCAAAAAGTCACTCTAAGGGTCAAAATAGAGCACATTTCAAACTGTTGCAAAAAACATCGTGAACGTCTCACTTCTTATTGTGTGGGATTTTCTACTATTTCAGAGTAACACTAGTATAAAAAACGTTAGGAGAATGTCTTTTGACTTGACGCGCAAGCACTCTTGATGAGAAGACGTGCGTTTCTCCTCCTGGGGTCAGGTCACCACAGCTGCGCGATTATTGAAGCTTAAGGTTAAGTTTTGGTTAAAGGCAAAAGTCGGGCTCAATAAGGGGGTATTATGGCGATTGAAACTGAGTATAGAGATGCGAAGTGGAACGACAGTGGAGAAAAAACTGAGAAAAACCGTCGACAAGGCCGTTAACAAAACCCTCTTTCCCACTAGCAGTGAAGGAGGCTGGCTTGGGAAAGAGGCACGTACAAACAAGTTTTCTGGAGATGTCAGTCGTTCTATCGGTTGATACGGCAATCAACCTAGCTGATTTCACACGTTATGCCAGCCACGCACCACTTCCGGAGGTGGGCGGTCCCGGATTGAAACCGACGGCCCCGGGGCCTTAACGACGTTTTTCAAGGTGGGAAGTTGCTGCAATGTGTGCAGCTACCCACATACAACCTCCAGGCACGGGAATTACTTCTCTAGCGTGCTGAGCCCGACCTTTGCCTTTAAGTTAATTAGGTTAAGGCTTATGCTTACACATTGGCTTATGCCTAAGCCTATGATTGGGCCTAGGCTTAGTCCTAAG